ATCACAATATAAGTTGATCACAGGGATCGTAGTAAAGCATGGAGAATATACTATGAATATATCAATGATTCTGTAACATCTTTCTACTTTGATAGATAGTAACCACACTAGATGGGGTGAAAATTTAATAATATGGTAACTTTTGAACCACTGTGTTGTACGTTTGAAACCAGTATAAGATTGTGTATCAGCAATACTTCAACAACAACAAAAAAGTGGTTCGCACTGACCAGATATGGAACAGTTCAAGCTTTAGTATGGGAGAGAACTGTAATGTATTGAAGCCCATTAATAATGTTTAAATCTCTGGGTACATATTTAAAAAGTAGACCAATAAGCTAGGCACCTTCTAAGAATGACAGTGAAGCAATTCATCATTTTGAACACTGTATGTAAAGGGAACCAATCAAGAATTCATTCTGACTATATCCTATGAACTGTTATTACTGGTCAATCTAGGAGTACGTAAGAGGAAAACACTCTTCAAAAATCATTAGAGCTAACAAATTTAAAAAGTGTTACAAATTGAATATCTTTTTTTCTATCTTAATTGGGATTAATAGGCCTAAGCACCACACATCAACAGTTGCTAACAACAGAAAAAAGCAAAAACCAGGCAGCACGTGTCTTCTGATGAAAGAACACAACTTCACCTACCGTATGGTCGACGATACGGAACCTGAGTCTGATTCAAGACTTTTAATGCAGCCACCGATTTGCAGGAAGTACAGAAGATGAAGGAACATGTTGAACTACAGCACAAGTGCAAGATGAATATATAAAAATTGTATTTCTCTATACTAGCAATGAACAGCTCAAATAAAATTAAGAAAACAGTTCTGGGTACAACAACATAAAAAAGAATAAGATATCAGGAATAAATTTACCAAACGAAGTATAAAACATGTCCTCTGAAAAGCATAAAACATTATTGAAAAAGATTGAAGAACACCAAAATAAACAAAAAGTTCTCTATTCATAGGTCTTTTCTCCCTCATAGCTTAGTCAAGAAAATATAACGTTCCATTCTTTATCTTTGATAACTTCTTTTAACATAAGAGAATAGAAAAATAAGTTATTTCTTTTTAAGAGTTCCTACAAATAAAAATGACAGCTCTAAGATCTTACAATTTATAAATAAGAAAGTAGATAAAAGTGAAGATAAGATAAAACATTATGCCTGTTATTGAGGAAGTCTTGCTTTAAGAATTCCCACTGCCAATATGAGTGCAGATTAGTGCAAACTTTTTGGAGAAAAACAACTTTATTAAGAGATTGACAAATACTTTTGTTCTTTGATCCAGTAATTTGTATGCTTTCCCGGGTCTACTAAAAACAGAAGGCTTTTATGGACAAAGAAATTACTGTGTACAATATCCATCATAGCTGTATTTATAAGATGGTATTGGAAACAGTTCAATAAGACAGGAATGTAAAAAGTAAGATATGATACAGTTATGGGATATAATGTTATATAGTCACTGAAAAAAGAAAAGAACATATTTAAAAAATGTTTAGAAACATGAAAAATTTAAGATGTTAAGTGAAAATAATCAGAATAAAAACACCTTTATATAATCTCACTGATATAAATATGCATGGAAAACAAGGGAAAACTATTAATGGAAGTATTAATAGTGGTCACCTTTAGATGATGGGAAGAAATTCATGAGAGGTTTTCTTCTTTTCAACATAAACACTTTTATACAATGAATATATACTAAGTATAAAGTTAAAACATACATACACAAATAGGATTTTAAAGAAAACAAATGACAGGAAAAATAACCTACCTCAAAAAACAGATATATTATTTTTTAATAAAATTTGCTTGACTATTGTCTGGCCTATTGTCTGAATAAATGGATAGTCATTTTTCCTCCATCCAAATCTTTTCAACTTTATACTCAAAGTGACCTATAGTTTATAATTTTGAGAATATTAGGAAATAAACTTTTTTCCAAATATATTCATAAAGGAGTATGCATCATTCATAGACATAACTCCAAAAATGATTGCTAAAAATCAAAATATTATTTTAGGCAGAATTCCATTTTTCAGCAATCACATGCAAGTTAAGAAAAATCAAATCCAAATGTTACTGATTCATTTACACTTTCATTATCAAATTACTGAATCCACTTCTAGGGGAGATTTGGTAGTTTTGAAGCACTTACATATCATTAGCATATATTTTCCTCTTAGTATTGTTTTATTATCTCAAATAACAGTCTATTTGCTGTCTCATAGTTACAGAAAGTTTGATTTATGGCTGAGAAATTTCCTTTCAAAATATAATTTTCATTATTCAATATCAAAAAGAAAAGGTCTGCTTAAAGTGCAAAAAGTCAAAATGCTACATTGTTACATTTATATTATAAAAGGTAAATATACATTAACCATAAAAGGGAATGCAAAAGCAAAATATGGTACAGCTGTGGGATACAATGTTAGATAGCCTCTAAATAAAAAAATACATCTTCAAGGAATGTTTAGTAACATGAAAAACATTTAAGGTAACATGCTAAGTAAAAATAATCAAAACAAAAACAACTTTACATCATCTCAATGATGAAAAACACAGGAAAAATGTTAATGAAAATATTAATGGTGATTATGTTTCGATGATGGAAAGATGCAATACTTTTGAGACTGAATTTTTGAGACAGAAATTTTTATCTCTTTGATGCCATTCATCTATCCATTAAACAAAGTGATAGAGTATCTGGCTAGGATAGCATTTTGCAAACTTTTATGTGCTTATTAATGGCATGTTGAGCAGAGTCTCTCAGAACTTGAGAGAGGAGCAGCTTTTCTCTTTTGTTGAAGCTACCAAAATTTTGGTAAGTGAAGATGTGATCAAACAAGTCTATAAAAACTGGATTATATTTAAATGTTCACACTTAACACAAAAATTCTAATACAGTATAACTGGGTTCTTCCCAAGATAATTAGATTTATAAAAATATTAATTCATCATACAAGATCCATTACAGGCACAAACATGATGAAGTTTGTCATTGTTTACACAATCAGAATAACTATGGAATTGCATGTAAAACTTAATTACATGTAAACTTTATTTTACATGTAAAATTTACAGGCAGCACCAGAGTTTAACCCAGGATACCTGGGCTCCGATGCAGTTGTCCTTCTCACTGCAGAAAACTTTAAGGTGGTAAAACTCCCTGACTGGCACAGACAGCAAAAATGTTTCTCAGACTCTGTTTAAGCATTTAGGCTAGCAGCTACAGGGCGCATGGCTTCAGAGGAGACAGTAAGTGAAGAGACCAGAGAGTAATGTGATAAAGAACTAGTTGAGATAGCACTGAAATAGGAGTCCTATGCCTTCCAAGACCGCGGAGTCACAGGAAATGCCAAAGGATAACCATCCACACAAAGGCCTCCTCATCCATAAGTCTGTCTAAATAAAGGAGGAAATCATCAAGATATATAGGAAAATTGTATGGACTTCTCACATCTCAGCCTAGATGTCACCTCTCAAAGAGTTTTTCCTTTATAGACAGTATTATAGAGGTACAAAGATACCAGATGCATCACTTGAAACCAAATAAACAATACAGATGGCCATTCCAATTGCATAAAAGAAGCCTGAAGCATTTATCATTAATAATGCTGCTCAAAATGTAGTTCTCAGACAGCAAGATAGGCATCACCCAGAAGCTTATAGAAATACAGATTACAGGCCACTCCAGACCTATTCCATTCTGCATTTTAACAGTATAACCAGGTAACTCATAAGCATATTAAAATTTGAGAAATGCTATCCTGGGCAGATACTCCATCAGTCGTTTAATGGACAAATGAATGCGGTCATATAGATAAAAGCTAAGGAGTATTTCAGTCTCAAAAATTCAGAGCAAGGTGATGAGTAATTGCTTCCTTCCTTATACTGCAGTTTACAATAGTCTAATTGAACATTTTCAAAAGGGATAATTATTCAAGTTACCAAACCTATAGGTATAAAACTATAGAAAAGTTTAATCTTTATTGAGTTTAGGGTAAGCTTAACATATGCTAAATGTTGTAGAAAATATAAAAAAGAAGAAAGTATGATAGCCTCAGAGATATGATGACCTGATCAGAAACCTAAAAAAACCCAGAAAAGTACATTTTATACATAATATATGCGTTTCATAAATATATTATGTAAATTATATATATATGTATATTTGTGTGTGTGTGTATATATAAATATATATATGTATTTTTGAATGTAATAAATACAAAGGTAACTAGTAGACTAAAAATACATGCCTTCCTAGATACAAATGATAAATAAATCAAACAAGAACATAAAGAGTATACATCTCCCAGGTAAAATCAAACAAGAACATAAAGAGAATACATCTCCCAGGTAAAATCATATAAACACAAAACACACATAATTACAAAACATCATGACAATTTTATACCCAAACATAAATGTTAAAGGACTTCTCTTATTTAAAGAAAACAATTTTCAATTTGGCTCACAAAACAAGACCCAAATAAATGTTGCCTACATGAGAGAACACAGAGGTAAAGTGATTCAAAGAGGCTAAAATGTAAAGGAATGGACTTCTGCTTCCAGGAAGGTGGAACAGACACACACATTTCCCTGTTTCACTAAAAGTACAGCTAAAAATCCTAAGCATTCCCTATAAAAGAAATGTAAGTCTCTGAAAGGTGTAAAGAAAAAGGCAGACCAGCGAGGGAGCTCCAGATCCATGGGACAGATAGCAATGAGCTCCTTGGGTTTTCTTCTTGGCTTGTAGATCCCAGACTTGGAGCTGAAAAAAAAACAGCGACCTAGAAAAGCCAAGAGGCACAGACGAAACATATAAAAACTGGGTATCCCCAGCCAAAGGATCAGGAAACGGGCAGCTTAGCAGAGCAGAAAAACATAGACAGTAACCACTCTAATCCAGTCAAACAAAAACTGGAAAGAAAAAAACCCTGAAAAAACAGAAAATATCTGCGATTGAACCCCACGCCTGCCGGAACAGGACAAGTGGGGAGCTTCGACTTCCACCCTCATGTGCTTCTCCACACAGAGCAAAGCCTGTAAAAGACATCAAAGGCAATCAGCTCGTCATGTAAACAGAACTCTTAGTGTTTCCTTTTATCAATACTGTTTGTCTGGGGCACCAAAATTCTGAATCTCTGCCCACCCCATCATGTTGGCCTTTGCACTGATCCGTGGGATGCAACAGATCCCTCTCATTTAGGCAGTAGCCATTTGGACCCGCTTTCTAGAACCACCTTGATGCCCCCACACCCTAAAATTACACACAAAATTATATAGTCTCTAAATGGGCTTTAACTTTTATTTCCCATTTGTTTTTAAAGTTGTTGAAACAATACCATTTTTACTAGACTACTTGTTGAAAAGGGAAAAACATGGAAAATAAATAAAAGCTAATATTCAACACATGTTAAAAACCATTGCTATTGAATATTTGAGAGTTACTTGTTAATGTAAGGGGAAATTTGACCCAAGCTACTGCAAATAATTTTCAAATGGTACTGCATCATAATATTACCAAAAGTTGGGAATTATAGTAAAATACTTATTTTCTGATCATGTGAAATTTCTCAAAGAGATCCAGACATACTGTAATATTACTTCAGGAAAGGTTGTATTAAAAGATATTTTCAAAGTTCTCAAAAAAATTTAGGTCATATCTTATATCTGATGAAGTATTTCCTGAATTTCAAAAGCAATGCTACATTGATATCATCTGCTCAACTATCAGATGACTTTGCGATAATATCTTTATAAAAAAGAATCCTATTGCTTTATGAATCCTTGGATATGACACGAAAGGCAAGGCACTAAAAGAAAAATTAGACAAACTGAACTTTAAGAAAATTTTTTAAATCTGTGAATCAAAAGATAATATTAACAGAATAGAAAGGCAACCTACAGAATGGGAGAAAAGATTTGCAAATCATATATCTGATGAGAGATTATATCCAAAATATAGAGAATTCCTAAAACTTGAAAAGACAACACTGAGTCAAAGGTGGACAACAGGCATGAATAAACATTTCTCCAGAGAAGATACACAAGTGTCCAATAAGCACGTGTAAATATGCTCAATGTCACTAATCACCGTGGAAATTAGCATGTAGTCACACAGAAGGGGTATAACATGATTTTTTAAATGAATAAAGGAACAAAAAGATGAATTGAAGTACAAGAAATTTGGTAAGGGAGTTTTACAACAAATGTGACTGTGATATAGCTAGTGTATATCACAATCAACATTTTTAAAATATTCTCTCTGTTATTATAGGGGTATTCTTGACTTGGTTTGCCACACTTTCAAGAAGAAAAGAATGATTTCATGATCAATAAACTTCCAAGCCTAGGACTTTTGAATGGTCAGAAAACTTAAAACTAATTACAACAAAGAGAGTGAACACCAGGAGAAAGGAATAAAGACAAATAGGAAAAAGGAGATATTTCCTGACAAAAAAAATGACAGATTTTATCCAGACATAAGACACAGATTTTTTTCAAATTCAAAAATCTTGCTTATGACTTCTACTGATTATTTTTCTGTTTCTGCTCTTTCATCTCGGCACAAAAGTAGAAGTCTCAGTGTACCATTACATTGTCTAAACACTAAACTAATATTAATTTCTAGACCAAACACACTGAGCTAAGATTTCGATCAGGATACAAAGGCTTGTCCAAAAGTATCTCCAACTGCTTACCCATCACAAACCAATGGATAATAAGAAGTATTTAGAATCTGGGTATACATAAGCTTTGCACGGAGGAGTCCAGGATTTTATTATAAACAGGCCACATTCCTTCAACTCTAAGTCAAAATGTGTTTACAACTAAGAAGAGAGGAGTATTTGTACAGGTAGGAGCAGACGAAGATAATAGCGCCGGGCACATGGCAGATGGTAGAAAAATACTTGTTAAATAGCTCTGTTGATTATTTGTGGTTGAATAAAATAAAACAAACCTATGTTTTTCCTATTTACTATTCCTTAGATAACAGGGGATTTGAGAAGCAATTCTTACCAGATTACCTCTTTTTCTTTATAGAAGATTCTGTACAAACACCTCGGACAGATGACTGCTATGAAATTATTCTTTTTTAAATTTAGGTATTACTGATACACAATCTTATGAAGGTTCCACATAAGCAACATTGTGGTTTCAACATTCACCCATATTATCAAGTCCCCCCCAACACCCATTACAATCACTGTCCATCAGTATAGTAAGATGCTATAGAGTTATTACTTGTCTTCTCCGTGCTGTACTGCCTTCCCCATGACCTACCTATATTGTGAGTGCTAATTATAGTGACCCTTAATCCCCTTTTCCCTCCCGCCCCACCCACCCTCTCCAAACCTTTTCCTTTGGTAACCTCTCGTTCTTGGAGTCTGTGAGTCTGCTACTGTTGTGTTTCTTCAGTTTTGCTTCATTGTTATACTTCAAAAATGAGGGAAATCATTTGGTACTTGTCTTTCTCCACCTGGCTCATTTCACCGAGTATAATACCTTCCAGCTCCAACCATGTTGTTTCAAATGATAGGATTGTTTTCTTCTCATGGCTGAATAGTTCTCAATTGTGTATATGTACCACATCTTCTTTATTCATCTACTGATGGACACTTAGGTTGCTTCCACATCTTAGCTATTGTAAATAGTGTTGCAATAAACATAGGGGTGCATATGTCTTTTTGAAACAGGGTAAATGCCTTTCTTCAGGTAAATGCCTAGGAGTGGAATTCCTGGGTCAAGTGGTATTTCTAGTTTTAGTTTTTTGAGGAACCTCCATATTGCTTTCCACAAAGGTTGAACTAATTCTTAGTTCCAGCAGCAGTGTCAGAAGGTTCCCCTTTCTCCACATCCTTGCCAGCAATTGTTGTTCCTTGTCTTTGGAAGTTGTCTATGCTAACTGATGTGCGGTGATATCTCATGTGGTTTTAATTTGCATTTCCCTGATGATTACCAATACGGAGCATCTTTTCATATGCCTGTAGGCCATTTGAATTTCTTCTTTGGAGAAGTGTCTGTTCAGATCCTCCACCCATTTATTCATTGGGTTATTTGTTTTCTGGGTGTTAAGGTGTGTGAGTTCTTTATATATTTTGGGTGTTAACCTCTTATCAGATAAGTCACTTATGAAGATATTCTCCCTAACTGTAGGATGCCTTTTGTTCTGCTGATGGTATCCTTTGCTGCACAGAAACTTTTTAGATTGATGTAGTCTCATTCATTCATTTCCACTTTTGTTTCCCTTGCCTGAGGAGATGTGTCCAGGAAAAAGTTGCTCATATTTATATTCAAGAGATTTTTGCCTATGTTTTTTTCTAAGAGTTTTATGGATTTGTGACTTACATCAGGTCTTTGAACATTTTGAGTTTACTTTTGTGTATGGAGTTAGACAATAATCCAGTTTCATTCTCTTACATGTAGCTGTTCAGTTTGCCAACACCAGTTGTTGAAGAGGCTGTCATTTTCCCATTGTATATCCATGGCTCTTTTATCATACATTAATTGGCCATATATGTGTGGGTTTATATCTGGGCTCTCTGTTCTGTTCCATTGATCTATGAGTCTGTTCCTGTGCCAGTATGAAATTGTCTTGATTACTGTGGCTTTATTGTAAAGCTTGAAGTTAGGGAGCATTATACCCCTGCTAAGGTCTTCCTTCTCAGGATTGCTTTGGCTATTTGGGGTCTTTTGTGGTTCCATATGAATTTTAGAACAATTTGTCCTGGTTCACTGAAGAATGCTGTTAGTATTTTGATAAGGATTGCATTAAATCTGTAGATTGCTTTAGGCAGGATGGCCATTTTGACAATATTAATTCTTCCTATCCATGAGCACAGGATGTATTTCCATCAATTGGTGTCTTCTTTAATTTCCCTCATAAGTTTCTTATAGTTTTCAGGGTACAGGTCTTTCACCTCTTGGTTAGGTTTATTCCTAGGTATTTTATTCTTTTTGATGCAATTGTAAATGGAATTGTTTTCCTGATTTCTCTTTCTGCTTGTTCATCATTAGTACAGAGGAATGCAACAGATTTCTGTGTACTGATATTGTATCCTGCAACTTTGCTGAATTCAGTTATGAGTTCTAGTAGTTTTGGAGTGGATTCTTTAGTATTTTTTATGTACAATATCATGTCATCTGCAGTGACAGTTTAACATCTTTCCTATTAATCTGGACGCCTTTTATTTCTTTGTGTTGTCTGATTGCCATGGCTAGGAACTCTGTTACTGTGCTGCATAAAAGTGCTGAGAGTGGGCATCTTTGTCTTGTTCCCAATCTTAGAGGAGAAGCTTTCAGCTTTTTGCTGATAAGTATGATGTTGGCTGGGGGTTTGTTGTATATGGCATTTAATATATTGAGGTACTTGCCCCCATACCTATTTTTGTTAAGAGTTTTTATCTTGAATGGATGTCGAATTTTGTCAAATGCTTTTCCAGTGTCTTTTCAGATGATCATGTGATTTTTGTCCTTTTTGTTGTGTTCTTTTTGTGTGATGTTGATGGATTTTTGAATACTGTACCATCCTTGAATCCCTGGAATGAATCCCACCTGATCATGATAAATGATCTTTAGAATATATTTTTTAATTCACTTTGCTAATATTTTGTTGCATATTTTTGCATCTATGTTCATCAGGGATATTGGTCTGTACTTTTCTTTTTTTTGTGGTGTCTTTGCCTGGTTTTGGTATTAGAGGGATGCTGCCCTCATACAATGAGTTTGGAAGTATTCCCTCCTCTTCTACTGTTTGAAAAACTTTAAGGAGTATGGGTGTTAGGTCTTCACTAAATGTTTGATAAAATTCAGTGGTGAAGCCATGTGGTCTGGAGGCTTTGTTCTTAGGTAGTTTTTTGATTACCAATTCAATTTCGTTGCTGGTATTTGGTCTGTCAGATTTTCTGTTTCTTCCTGGGTCAGTCATGGAAGGTGTATTTTTCTAAAAGTTCCAATTTGTTAGCATATAATTTTTCATAGTATTCTCTAATAATTCTTTGTATTTCAGTGGTGTCTGTATAGTGATTTTTCCTTTCTCA